GTAAGGAAGTTTGTTTTAGAAAAGACTGTTGTCTTTGTTTCAAAGATAAACTATAAACTAAGTTCCTCCCAAAGTCCGGGAATGAACAAGGACAGCCTGGAAGTTAGAAGCAAGATGGAGTCAGTTAGATCAATTCTTTTTCACTGTCTGAGCTATAATTTTGCAATAATGGTTTTATAACTTTAAATCATGACTATCGCAGTTTTCATAAATAATCTAGGTAAACAATTAAGATAATTAGGTAAATGTAATGTTTAAATACTTCTAGACAAATTTGTCAAAATTCAGAATACAAAGTTATATTAAATAATAGATATTTCATTATTAGGTATTTTCCAATAAAAGTATATTGTAGGAAAATATTCTTGCTAAAAAAAAAGTGTGTCCTTTTTTTTAAAAAATGGTGAACAAGTTTTACCTAATTTAAAGTTTATTTAAAGGTTATATATAAAACAAAGCAAAGGAACCAGAAAATAAAAGAGATGTAAAGAAAGTTATAAAAATAAAGAGGTATTTTTTGTGGTAAGAAAGCTTAAAGAGAAATAATTTTATGTAAGAAAGAATCTTGTAAGATAATTTTAGTCCTAAAATACAATGACTGGTTGTTTAAGAAAGAGGATGTTTAGGACAAAAGAGAAAGTCCAGGCATGTCATGAATGATCTGTGTAAGTCACAATGAGAGGATTTATTTAAAAAAAAAAACCAAAAATTTTTATATGATCAAGTTGTTTATAAGTAATGGGTAATTATAATGGTCTTTCTAGAGATTAAGCTTGATGTAAAAAAAACCACTTATACACTAAATTATTGGTAAGAACAATGAAATTTTCTTAAGGGGTTGATTTACTCTTAACAAATTATAACAGATTTTAATTTTTTTATCAAAAACTTCAACTTTTATTGCATCTCACCAGTTTTTGGCTTTTAAAAGGCACACTTTCTTAAAGGTCTAACGAAATGTTTTCTTCCAACATAATATTCTGTGCACTGCAGAAGGTCTTTTCTTTTGCCTTTCAGTAAATGACCTAACAGATTTAACATTTTATTGAAATAATTCCTATACCATTATTATTAAGTTTGGTGTGCTTAGGAAAAGGATGATATTTACGTTTTTTAATTAAAGTTGTTACATTTGTGTGTCTTCCTGTATGTGCTTTTAAAGTTCTTGTGACATTGAGTTATAGGGCTTTGACTCCTGGGTCTAAAAAGGCACCAAGTCCTGCTAAATTTTTAAACACTGACAGCAATTAAAGCTCCATCTTTGGGCCCAGTAGAAGATGCCAATAAAAACCAACTGTACTCGTAAAACAGACTGACAGAAATTAAAGTTATTCAACTTCTCAAGGCTCAGGGACTATCTCAGTAGAGGTGGGTGCATGGATTGTAAGGGCTGATTTTAAAGATAAAGTAAGTTCAGTTTCTCTATAAATTAATCATTAATGTTGAAGGTACACTGAAGCAAGACCAGCATATGGGCCCCTGAGTCAAATTAATAAGGTTTTCTTGAAGCATTAACTAACTCCTAAATAAAGATTACAAAGGTTATGAAAGGCTTATGGAAGGTATATCTTATGATCAGGATTCAAAATTTATAATTTTTAAATAAAATTTTGAAAAAGAAATTTAATTGGCCTCTTGTACACCTATCCAAGATTAAGTCTGTTTCCTTTTTTTTTTTTTTTTTTGAGACAGAGTCTTGCTCTGTCACCTGGGCTGGAGTGCAGTGGCTCAATCTTGGCTCACTGCAGCCTCCACCTCCTGGGTTCAAGCAGTTCTCTGCCTCAGCCTCCCAAACTGCTGGGATTACAGGTGCCCGCCACCATGCGCAGCTAATTTTTTTGTATTTTTAGTAGAGATGAGGTTTCACCATACTGGCCAGGCTGGTCTTGATCTCCTGACCTCGTGACCCACCTGCCTCAGCCTCCCAAAGTGCTGGGATTACAGGTGTGAGCCACTGCACCCAGCCAAGCCTGTTTCTTATGAGTCCCCACAGGCACCTGAGAAAGACACCATGGCCTGCACTTGTGAACCCTTAGAATATCTAAAGCTGTCGTTCGGGAAGTAAACAGACAACTAACACCCTAAGTGCCTCCTCCTCAGCCTCCTTCACAACTCCCACCCCATACAGGTTTGCACCCCAGGGGATACCTATGGCCATGTGGTCACCTATTCAGTTAGTGTATAAATGACTTGCCTCTCATTTGGGATCATGAACCCAATGGTTACCAGCGTATTGATAACATTTGGTTCAGGGGTCAATGTACATACGGTAAGACAGGCAAAGCCCTATATATACAATTATATAACATCGCTTACCTGAGAGCTAAGCAGGCAATTGAGACTGGGGTTGAGACTGCTATTGGCTTATTGGCCCCATGGGGAAAATTTGCCTATCACGAGGCAAGTCTTCAAAGCTTTGCTTCTTCATTCCACACACCGTCTCATAAAACAGGAGACATTTAGATACATTACACTCTCCCTTGCTTCCTTTGCAGATATAATAATGGACGATAGATTAGCATGAGAGTTTTATACTTACTGGATGAACAAGGAGTATGGGCTACAATCAATGAAACCTGCTGCACTTATATACGCACCTCAGGTCAAACAGAAGAAGATGCCCGTGAAACATATGAGCGAGTGCCCAGTTGCGTAAATAGAACCAAGGCTCTGATCTCAACTGTCTCTGGTAAACCATTAAAAGCGCCCTCAGAGTCTCACGTGGTTTTCCTTCCTCGGACCTTTGATAGCTGTCTGGTTATTACTAATCCTTGGTCCTTGCTTGTTTATCTTCTTGATAGTTTGTGTTTTCTAGATTACGGTAGGAAACGTCCCGAAGGCCATGAAACGCTGGCAGATATTATGCTAGGGTGTGGGGATTCGAGCTCGGCCCTTTTTTCTTTTCTATCATTTGTAAAGATGAGGTGAAGTGGAAGACGGGGAGGTGCGGGTTCCTGTCCAGGTGGAGCTGTGGGGGCTCCGGTCCAGGTGGAGCTGTGGGGCCCTGAGTGCAGGGGCGGCCTCTGCAGCCTGAATGCACCAGGCTGGGCCCGCACTGCTGCTCACTGCTGCTGCAGGTGGCCCTCCCTGGCTGGTCCTTGCCCTTGGAGAGGTCAGCTGTCTGTCCTTCGAAGGGGCAGCAGGCTGTGCCATGTGGCCAGAGCAGGCTCCTGCCCATCGTCGTGGTGTGAGGCAGCGTCAGGGCTGTGTAACCTCACAGGCCCTCAGCTCAGAGGTGCTGTGACTTGAGGGACAGCTCAGGGGGTCAAAGGGGCCACAATTTTCAGGCTGGTCCTGGCATGGAGAGCCCAGCGAGGCCTCCCGTGTCCTTGCCCTTCCTCCCTTCACCCGGCCAAAGGCATTCCAATGTGAGGAAGTCCGGGGAACAGGGTGTGAGGGTCCTGTGCCTGCTCTGTCCTGGACACCTCCAGCCTGCCCAATGCCAATGGGCCCCAGCCCTGGAGCACGCTGCCTTGTGACTCTGAACCTAAGTCCCAGGGAGAAGGACCCCTTTCCACCAGGGGGTAGGGGCTGCTGTGCGGGCACCGGGGCGAGCTGTGTCCTGGGGACGGCCGCCTAATCACTGAGGCATCTCCTGCACTGCAGGCCTCCAGAGGCCCTCCCTGGCCATCCCGGCATTCTGGATCCTCTTTCCTTGCTTTATTTTTTTCTCCTAGTTTTTGTCACCAGGGTGACCAGAAGCCCCTGGAACGGCTCATGGAACACAGCAGGGGCTCGATAGCCGGGCAGGGCACCAGCCTCCCTCACCCAGCTCCTGGACACTCCCAGAGCAGGTCGGCAAGCCCAGGCCACAGCGTCAGGAGATGCAGTGCGGCCAGCAGCACATGCCTGAGCCCCAGCTCCTGCAGCTGAGCCTGAGGGGTGCAGAGTTCTGTGCGGGGATCCCTGGTCTGCAGGGCCCTCCCAGAAAACAAAGGCCTAGCCCTGGACTCTGGACTGGGGCAGGTCTGAGTGTGTCTTGAGCCATGGACAGTGGGTGGGTTTCGGGCAGGCTGAAGCTGGACACAGGCAAGGTGGGGAGGGAGCAGCCAGTGCTCAGGGTCACTCAGATGCTGGCCCAGGGACCTGCACCCTCCTGACACTTCCAGGAGGGAGGTCTCCTGGTGAAGTCACATGTCAGACAGGAGGCCTGGCTCTTTCTCAGCATAGCCCTGCCCACCGCCTGCTCCATGAACTACCCCCAGAGCTCCAGGCCAGGGTTCCAGTCCTGGCTCAGGATGGGATGTGGGCCGAAGCCCTCTTCTCTTCCCTGAGCCTCTGCCTCCTCTTTTCTGAACCTGTACCCCCACTCTGAGCCCCAACCTAACAACCTTGGAAGCCTCACCCGGAGCAGGTCCCCACCCAGGTCACAGGCTGCGCCCCAGCCCTAGGGCAGGAGGCAGGCTCTGTGCCAAAGGCTTCCTGGCCAAGGGCAGGAGGCAAGTGTGGGTGGAGTCCTCCCTCGGGCCCAGGAACCCAGGTGCCTGTGGATGCTGGTGGGGCACAGGTTCCCAGAAAGAAGCCCCAGGAGGTGTGATGGACTCCCCAGAGAGGGAAGGGGCTGAGGTTCAGCGTTGGGGGAGGCCACCTGTCCCCAGGCACCCTGCTGCGGTGTTTGAATGCTGTACGGTGGGTGTGCAGCTCTAAAACAAATGTTGAAACATGCGGGTGCTCAAATCAGGCCAAAAGGAGGGGTGGGAACTTGGATGGTAGCAGCCCCTGCCCCTGGAACCCTCTCCTTCCTGTGAACTTTCTGGGTCCGTCCTCCCAGCAGGGAGGGGTCATGGTCTGGCCACAGCTCCAGGCCGCACAGCAAGTGCGTGTCCTGGGAACCGCCCTCCCACCCTCTGCAGGGATGCCCTCCTTCCAGGTGCCAGGTGTTTGCTCCGGTCACAGAGGGGGCTGCAGCCCCCATGACAGGGCCCATTCACAGCCACAGACCTGGTCTAGACACAGCCCGGATCCCATCCCGCCTGGGGTGCACAAGGACAGAGGCTCTCTCTTGCTTATCAGCAGGTGTTTATTAAGGGCCTACGCTGTGCTGGGGCTGCCATTGAGGGAGCCCCGTGAATGTGAGGGCTGGCCCCTCCCTCCAGGCCACGAGGCCCCGTCTCCGGAGACTCCCAGGACCTCACACCAACCCGCCCTCCAGCTCTGCTCCGTCTACTTCATCTCAGCCTTTGCCGGCCCTCCTGCGGGCCTGCTCCCTGCTGGAGGGCCCGGGTCACAACCAGACCTGGCTCTGGTCATAGATGGGGTGGGCAGGGAAGGCTTCCTGGAGGAAGAGGTGCCTGAGCACAGGGTTAAGGGTGGGGAACACTAGGCCATGGAGACAGCAGCAGTGTGGATTGGAGGGGCCGTCTGCAGGCTGATCTGTGTCGCTAGAGCCGGCCTGCCAGGTGGGAGTCCTGGAGAGGGCCATGGGAGGGTCAGGGTGGGGGAGGGGGTGGGAGGCAGAGGGACAGGGCCAGACCTGTGTTAGGACGTGCCCTCAGGAACCAGGACAGGCTCCCACTGGGCAGGGTGTGTGAGGAGTGGCACAGGGGCCTGGGGCACCACACCCAGTGGGGGCTGCAGCGGGGCCTCCGGGAGCCTACAGCTGGCTGAGACCCCAGAACAGCAGGCCGAGTGCGGTGAGCGGTGCCAGGGTGGCGGCAGCCGGCTGCAGGGCATGGGCCCCGCTGGCGTTGCACAAGTCAGTGTCACAGCACGTGATGTTCTTCTTGCCCAGGTAGTAGTCCTGAGAGCCATCCTCGCAGTGTGAGCTGCAGCCTTTGCTGATGACGGTCAGGAGGCCTACGGCGCCTGGGGAGCAGTGGACCTGGGGCTGGCGCTGTCCTGTGTGCCCACCTGCCCGCCCTGCCCACACCTCCTCCTGTCCCCACCCTGCCTGAAGCTCTGGAGTCCCCCTGGGCTGCCCCAGGATCGCAAGCAGTGCCAGGGCCTGGTCTCGGACCTATCCCCATCCAGGGCAGGGGGACTACCTGCTGAGCACCAGAGCTGGTGTGAGTGAGCCAGCCGGCGCAGGGGTGGGGGAGGGACAGACGGTGGAGGAGTGGCCGATGGAGGAGGGTGGATGGTGGAGGGTGCTGGAGGGACAGATGCTGGGTGACAGGTGGGGGACAGGTGCGGGACGGGTGGGGGATGATTGGAAGGAAAACAGGTCATAGGGGTAGGGAGATGGCCAGAAGGATGGATGGTTCAGTGGCAGAGACCTAAGCCCGAGCTCGTGTCCCACACTCACGGATGCGCTCGGTCCAGCACTGCGTATCCGACTCAGTGCAGTTGTGCACCTGTAGGCAGTTCTTGTTGCTCACCTGGCCCCTGCAGGTGTAGCACTGCAGGGCGGAGCCTGTGGGGTGCGCGGGAGAGGCCTCAGACGCTGCCCCACGGCACTCCCCAGAGGGGGACTCTCAGCCAGGGCCTGCCAGCCTCATCTCTGCAGGGCGGAGGGCGAGGCCGACAGCAGGGTCTGGGCCCTTCTAGAGAGCGCGCACTGTGTGCTCGGACGGGCCTTTGCAGGGCACGAACTTCGCACCCCTCCCAGGGTGTCCAGCAGCTGCCAACTATGCCCCAGCCCCCCAATTGCCAGGGTAAAGCGTTGTGAAAACGCTCATGCTCCTGAGAGAGAAGGGCTCACCCCACTTGCCAGGGGCCCGGCTGGACACTTGGAGACAGGGGATGGATGAAGATTTTCCGTGACTTCCTCAGGCCACCGCCATGCAGGCCCAGCTGGCCTTGTCCCCAGCAGCCTGTCTAGGCTAAGCCCGACCTCTCAGCCTCTCTCAGGCCTCCTGGGTCAGGTCTTGCTCTGCCCCTGGAGCGGCTCTGCTGTGAGCTGTCACGGCCACTGGCTCCACCTATGCAGGCAGGTGCCCCCACAGTCCTTGGTGCTTCTCCTCGCCCTCAATTCCCCTCACCATCTTCAGGGCCCTCCTCAGCGCCTCCAAAATGTTGCCCCGTTTAGCCCTCAGTGGCTGTGTTGGTGACCCTGCTTTCCAGAAGAAGCAGCTGCGGCCATGGGGGTGACCAACCCTGGGACCCTGGGCTGGGAGGGACCCACTCCGAGCAGAGCAGTGCAGGCCAGTAGCCCCCTGGGACCCCTGGAGGCTGCAATGCTGGGACTGGGCTGGGCGTAGACCCCTGGGTTCTCTCAGGACACTGCCAGCACCTCCCCTCATGCCGTCAAAGGGACTTCGTAGCCTGAGTCTTCCTGCCCCTGTGTCTCCCGGCTCCTCATCGGCATCTCTGTCCATCCATCTGTCAGTCTATCTGCACCCCAGGAGCCAGGCCCTGCCCCACGGTGTTGAAAGAATGTGACTCCATGCTGCCCCTGTAAGCCCCCGTCACTGGGATGGCGGGGAACACAGGTCACTGCCTGGTTGTGCCAGGAGCTGCCCTGGAGGAGTGGAGGCTGGAGTGAGAGCCTCACCCCTCCTCTCCCTTCCTCTTACCTCCCCCTCCTCTCTGAGTGCCTCCCTGACTCACCCCTGCCCCCTTCCCTGCTGGGGGCCAGCTAAGGCCTCACCTGGCTTCAGGGCCAAGCCTGTGACCAACAGGGCAAGCAGCACAGCCTTCATGGTCACGGGTGGGAAGCGGCAGAGCGGGCCTTGGGCAGCTTTATATGCCGCAGCCGGGGAGAGGCTGGACTGCCCAGAGTCAACACCCGCGGGCTCCCCGGAGCCAGTGAGGGCCCCGGGCTGGGCAGGTCCCGTCTCCTCCCTGAGCCTGCGCCTCCCTCTCCCTTCGTCCTCTCCACGTCCGGAGGCAGAGCCTGCCCAGGCCCGTGGCTCAGCAGGCCCAGGCTGAGGGCCGAAACCTCCTCAGATCCCAGAAGACGCCCCTCCCGCCTCCCCCACCTCACAGCGCAGGGCCAGATCAGGGAGACCCTTTCTCCAGGCTCCTGCAGGCCTCAGCCTTCCAGCTAAGGACGAGGCACCTCCCTGGGCCCTGTGTCCTGCAGACACTGTGCTGCCCTCCTGGGGCCCACGGCCCATGGGGTGATGAGCCTCGGTCACAGCGTCACAGGCAGATCAGCAGCAGGTGCTGCCAGGGAGAGGGGCTGGGGCTGTTCCAGGTGTGAAGCAAAGGCAGCATTCGAAGGGCCCCCATCTGAGTGGACCCCTCCTCACGGCCAGGGCTTTCCAAAGTGAACCTGAAAAACTGGTTCAGGCCATGACAGCAAAGGGCTGGACAGCCTCATGACCCCTCTCTTCATAACTCAGGAAAAGCCAGCGTTAACAGCAGGGACCTGCAGTCTGATGACAGCCACTGCCCATCTATTTTCTCGGAGGCCTGCTACCTGGAGGCTTCATCTGATGCCAAAACCTTGATCTCCACAGCCCCTGATAACCCAGACACTCCTTTCTGTTGATAACCCTTGCAACCAGCTGCCAACCAGAAAATGTTAAATTCACCTGTCACCTGGAAGCCACGTTCGAGCAGTCCTGCCTTTCTGAACCAAACCAATGTAGATCTTAAGTGTACGTGATTCCTGCCTCATGTCTCCCTAAAATGTATCAAATCAAGCTGGGCCCTGACCACCTCAGGCACCTGTTCTCAGGTCTCCTGGGGGCTGTGTCACAGGCCATGGGCCCTCATGTTGGGCTCAGAATAAATGTCTTCAAATATTGTACAGAGTTTGGCTCTTTGTTGACACAGGGGACTCCCCCCCTGGGGAGGGGACACTGTTGGACAGGCTCTCACTTATGGGGCATTGGGTGTGGGACCTGGACTAGGCGCTCTACCCTCAGGACCTTGAGTGATCTTCAGCTTGGAATGCTAGCTGCAAGGGAGTCGGGGAAGTGCAGCTTTAAGCAGCCTCTGCAATAGTGGGAGCAGGGGCTGGGCCCAGGGCTGGATGGCCTCTGTCTGCGCCAGGTCCCCTCCCTCCTGCTCCATGTCCTGGGAGGCTGGTCTGTCTGCCACGGATAGGAGATGAGAGGGTGGAAGAGACAGGGTCAGGCTGGCTCTCCTGCCAGCTGGCTGGGAGGTGGTGGCAGTGGCTACAGCCCTCTAGAGTAAGCCTAGGTCCTGTCAGCCAGGCTCCTCCCATCCCCCGGGCTCTGGCCAGCCTCTGGTCACTGTGCTCACCCCCTCATCCCTCCAAGCCCAGGGGGGCAGTGGCTTCCTGCTGCTGCTGGCTTTGAGGGGGATTCATGGCCCCTGTTGTCTCATTCAACCTGACCCCTGGCTTTGTACATGGGCCCTGAGTTAGACGACTCTGCCTGGCAACCCTCTTCAGATGCTGGTGGGTCCACCGTGGCCGTGGTCCTGCCTACTGCTGAGTGTGTGTCTGGAGGGAGGCAGGCCCCTCCTCCCCTGATGCCCCCTCCATCCCCGCTGATGGTGTGTCTGGGGGGAGACAGGCCCCTCCTCCCCTGACCCCCCAGTCCCCACTGATGGGGTGTCTGGGGGGAGACAGGCCCTTCCTCTCCTGACGCCCCCCTGTCCCCGCTGATGGGGTGTCTGCAGGGAGGCAGGCCCCTCCTCCCCTGACCCCCCGTCCCCACTGATGGGGTGTCTGCAGGGAGACAGGTCCCTCCTCTCCTGATGCTCCCCTGTCCCTGCTGATGGGGTGTCTGGGGGGAGACAGGCCCCTCCTCCCCTGACCCCCCTGTCCCTGCTGATGGCTGTCTGGAGGGAGGCAGTCCCCTTCTCCCCTGACACCCCCCTGTCCCCACTGATGGGGTGTCTGGAGGGAGACATGCCCCTTCTCCCGTGATGCCCCCCCGTCCCCGCTGATGGGGTGTCTGGAGGGAGGCAGGCCCCTCCTCCCCTGATGCTCTCCTGTCCCCACTGATGGGCTGTCTGGCCTTCATTCCTACCTCTTCTCCTCGATTTTGCCCCCAAAAAGGGCTCTGGCACATTTTAGGGGGTGGTGAGAATGTCACAGGAAGGAAAAGTCTTGGGGAATCGGCCCCTCTCCCAGCAGGCCTGGACTGTCCCAGAAGGCTGGCAGATGTTTATGGGGTGTTTGGGGCACATCAGCTCCCACTGTCTCACCTTGAGTCTGGGATCCAGGTAACACTGCTGATGGGGGCAGGGATGATGTCAGACCCGACCTCCCTGGGACTTAGTGGCACCAGGAATCTCCCTTTGGGCTTCCCCTGGGACCCGTGTCTGCCCCTGTCCCTCTGGGGTCGCTCCTGCCCGGCTCCCTGGCACCTGTGGGGCTGGGCTCTTTTCCATGGAAATTGTCTCTTCTCTGGCAAGTGAAGAGTCCGGGCCTGAGAGGGACAGGCCTTACTGGAGGCCATGCAGGGTGACTGTGGCCTCCCCAAGGCCCCTTCCTTGCTCACTCTGCCCACCCAGAGCTTTCCCTCTGGACACGCCCTCCAGCCCATGTCCTGTGAGCTCAGGATAAGGGCCTCACCTGGTAATTAACTGCTTCCATGTGTGGCTGACTGCCTCTGTCCCATCCTCCCTCTACCCCCAGCCCCAGCCCGCTAGGACCCTGGCCACTCCTGCACAAGAGGTTTTCTTATTTGTCTCTGTATTCAAGGTGCCAGCCTGGAACTTTCCGTCCTCAAATATTTACAGGTGTGTAGGTGTTTGCTGATCTGATTTGATATACAGCGATTTCTGTGAGGCAGTGGTTCTCACGTTGGTGACTCTGCATCCCTGGGGAATGTTTGGTGATGTCAGGAGGCATCTCTGCTTGTTCCAGCTCGGAGGTGCTGCTGGTCTGTAGTGTGCAGGCCAAGGAGGGGGCAGCACACAGGACTCCCACCACAGAATCCGCCGGCCCAGACATCAGCCACGCTGAGGGTGAGGCTGGTCTCAGGATGGCCTCGTGGCCACGGCTCACACACAGGGCTGTGACATTCCTAGAGCCCCACCCCGGACCACAGGTTGGGTTCTGAACTCAGCCCCAAACTGAGCCCTCACTGTGGTTAGTCTGAACTCTAACCCTGGTTACCTAACAAGTTCTGGTTATGGTCCCACCCTGAGTCCTAAGACCAGTCACACCCTGAGCCCTGGCCTGGGCGACTGACTGAGCCCTGATCCCGGCCACAGAATGAACCCTGACCGTGGTCACACACTGAGCCCTGATCCTGATTAGACTCAATCCCTGGCTCTGGCCACTGACTGAGCCCTGATCCTGGTCACATAATGAACCCTGACTGCGGTCACCCTCTGATTTTTGACCCTGGTCACAGGCTAATCCCTGTCCCCTGTTGTTCACACTTTGGCTGTACACTGAATGCAGTCCCGGAGCCTAAACGGAGCCTGGATTTTCCGGCAGTTCTCCTGTCTGGGAAGTTCTGCAATAAGGGGCATGGCTCCCCACAGACCCCCATGCAGTGGACAGGGGCTGAGAGGTTGATGTGAGTCATAAAACTCCAGTCTCCAGTTCAGATGGCTCTGCCTGAGTTAAACTCTTTCTCTATTGCAATTCCCCTGACTTGATAACTCGGCTCCGTTTGGGCAGGGGTTGAAATGAACCCACTGGGTGATGACACACTAGTATATTTTCTCCCTTCTCTTCCGCTCTTTCTGACTCTCCCAAGGGCCACAATGGGCTTGGTCCTTGAGAAGAGGCGCAAGGCTCCGTAGATGCAGCTGGGGGGGCCCCATGCATTTTGGGGATCAGGCCCCAAGATGCATGGGGGCTCCCTCCAGACAGGCCAATCCCCACTGCCCACCAAGTCCTGGGAGACCATGTGATCCCAGGTCCCTGAGGTGGTAGCAGGGTCACGCACCAGGGATGGAGCCAGCCTTCCTGGGGAGACTTTGCTGTCCCAGGTGACCCTGCTACGGGAGCTCCACTCCCATCCAGTGGCCCTAGGTCTAGTCCTGTCATGCATGTGGTATGCTCGGTGACTCAGTCTCCTCCTCTGTGAAACATCTGACTTTAGCAGGCCCAAATTCCCGCCCCACAGAATCATGTGTGGTAAAAACAGTGAGTGCGGCTTCCGTGTGACTCACCCTTGGCCTCCTTCCTCTGCTCTGCAGGTTGCCTCTTGGGACTCCAGATTTTCCTGTTCACTCTTGACCTTCCACTCACCTACCCCACCACCACGGGCCCAAAGCGGCTGGGTTCCCCAGCGATCTTGCCTTCCACCCAGTGCATGGGTGAGGCCGGGGCTAGGGCAGCCGAACCAGACCCTGGGGCTTTGGGAGCCAACTCACCTTGTGGGGAGTCCCACCACCACCTCCTGGGGCCCCACACAGTCCCATGCAGTAACACAGATCCCTGTGTGTAAATGTTTTTATTTCATGCAGCATTAATTTAAAAAATAAAGCTAGCATGTCACTTGCAAAGCCATGCTGGGGTCAGCTTGCAGCATCTTTCTTTGGAAAAACGTCCTTGCAGATCAGGAGGAAAACCCACTACAGCTCAGATCATGGGTTGGCGGGGGCCACTGAGTGCCAGGCTCAGATCACGGGGTGGCGGGGGCACTGAGTGCCAGGCTCAGATCACGAGGTGGCGGGGGCACTGAGTGCCAGGCTCAGATCACGGGGTGGCGGGGGCACTGAGTGCCAGGCTCAGATCACGGGGTGGCGGGGGCACTGAGTGCCAGGCTCAGATCACGGGGTGGCGGGGGCACTAAGTGCCAGGCTCAGATCACGGGGTGGCGGGGGCACTAAGTGCCAGGCTCAGATCACGGGGTGGCAGGGGGCACTGA